TTTTTTTCCTTTCTCTTTCTCTCGTCGACCCTAATGAGTCTTCTCTCCCGGGTTCTTTTTAGCTTTATTTTTTCTACCTCTCTCTCTCTTATTTTATTAGCTTCTCAATTATTTCTTAAGGCTTCCTTCTTCTCTTTCTAGTCACAATATTCTCACTGTTTCTCTCTCGTCCTTCCACTTCTTTTTTTTTCTTTCTTCATTTCTTCTTTCTTACCTTTTCTTTCCCTTCCGCACCTCACTCTCTCCTTTTAAAAATCTATCTACCTATCTTTCTCAGATTAATTTCTCATTTTTTTTTCACCTTCTTTTTTTTAATAAATTTACTATTCTTTCTTTCGTTCTCAAACTTTTGCGCGCGGGCACACACACACACATTACTATGTACAGTGTAACCCGGATATAAGAGAGTTGTCGGGACCGGAGAAGAAGTCTCTTATATCCGGGTTTCTCTTATATCCGGGTTTGGTCTATTTTATATACATTAACACAGGCTCTAATTTGGGACCAGAGAAAATCTCTCTTATATCCGAGTTTCTCTTATATCCGAGTCTCTTATATCCGGGTTACACTGTAGTATAAAGGTTACGTTTTTTAGTGTATACACGTGTTTGAGTATACAATTTTTTTTTCTTGAACAGTGAAATCAACATAAACCGGCTTAGAGCGAGATATAATTTCATTATATATATACATACATATATGTGTGTGTGTGTGTGGGGGGGGTGTGTAGAATAGCCTATTGAATAAAACAGTCTGCTCCCTCTGGGTGTTGACTTCAATGTCCACTTTTATATTTACATACGCTCCATCATTGATATTGGGCACTTTAACTCATAAATATAGCATACCTATATAAGGCTAATAGTAATAAGAAATGCATACATAAATTTGTGTATGAGTATATATATATATATATATATATATATATATATATATATATATATATATATATATTTATTTCGAATTTTTTTGTTTCAACACTTCTGGTATCTTATCAAGAATGGTGTTGAATGTGATAAGACACCAGAAGTGTTGAAACAAAATGGCCATTTTTGTAGTGATTTTATAACATATTTAAGTTATAATTTTCGAATAAATAATTATATTTGCTCTACTCTGTACTGAGCACTCTTTTAAGAATAGTATTTGCTGGTTATTGGAATTTATTCCGTATATACACCAATCCTATACTTATATATGTGTGTGTGTGTGTGTGTATGTATGTATGTATGTTCAGAGAATTAATGGTTTTTTTTATTTCCATACCTACATTATTTCCTATTTATCTAAACGTTATTTTTAGTGGACAACCGTATTTGAGAAGATGTAACGTTTTTTATGTTTTTTTTTTTGTTTGTTTTTTTAACTGTGCCAATGGCGTCAACTGGCCTGCGCATTCCAGAGAATAACAAAAGGACGCTCTTCGGCAGGCCTCGAAATTTGGTCGCAGGATGGAACTCGGCCGGAGACCACGTCTACTTCACTAAGTCTTTCGAATGTGCAGTGGCATCTAATCAAAGATTAGTATCCCCTGAAATAACGTTTGGCGCAATAAACACACACACATACCCACCCCTGCGCACACTCAAGGAGTTTGCTGAAAATTTCTCGGCTCGACTCACTTCAAAAAGGAAACAAAATATCAGATTTCTTTTTCTTTTGAGGGGACAGGCTTCTTGGTCGGATGGAAAAGTTTTTCGGCACACTCACATAGATTGTTCCTGAATACTTGACGCATTTTTTCGCGATTTCTTCCCACCCCACCCTCTCTTCACACTGTCTCTTTTCTACCAACGCTTAAAAAGAAAGCTTTCTTCCCCTGTTAATCTTTTCTGTTCCGCATTTAATCTCTACGCCATTTTACTCAATTTTTACACCTCTTTAATGATATTTTCTCTATAGAATTTTTATTGACTATTTTCTACCCTGTTTTTATTTTCTGTAGTCTTTTCTGTTTACACCTCATTTCTCCTACATTTATTTACATTTTTGTACCAGATCTGTTTTATACATTTATTTTTTATTACATCGTTTTGCATCTCTTCTGAACATCTTTTTTATACCTCGTCCCTTTTCTACTTTGTTCAAAATTTATCTTTTTAAGTATCGACATCCATCTACTTGCATCTTTCTGCACACATGTTTTTCTACACCTCACATCTTATCTGCACCCCTTTTTACCTCATATCTTTTTTACACGCATCATTTATTTTACACCTTTTTTTTTACACCTGAACCATTTTCTGCAACCATCCTTTTTTACACCTCACCTCTTCTCTGCACCCCTTTTTACATCTCACCTCTTATCTACACACGTCGTTTTTTTTTACAACTCAACCATTTTTTGCACCCATCCATTTTTACACCTCATCTCTTCTCTGCTCCCCTTTTTACATCTCACCTCTTTTCTACACGCATCGTTTTTTTTTACAGCTCAGCCATTTTCTGCACCTATCCTTTTTTTTTTACACCTCATCTTATTTCTGTACTTCTCTCTTAAGGTCCGACTTTTGTTTATATTTTGCCTAATGAGTTTGTGTAAATTTCTCAGACATACAATGAGGTAAATGGGCTTGGAGAATTTGACACTCACAGGACATATAGAAAACAACAGAAACAGAGGGAAACAGCGAGTAACCTACCTAACGATCTTGTGTAAATTTCTGTTATACGTAATGAGGAAAGAGGGCTTGGAGAATTTGACACCTACAAGACATACTGAAGACAAGAAGAGCAGAGGGAAACAGCGAGAAACCTACTTAATTAGCTTGTGGAAATTTCTGGGATACATAATGAGGAAAGAGTGTTTGGAGAATTTGATACTCACAGGACATACCGAAGGCAAGGGAGACAGCGGGTAAACTACCTAACGAGCTTGTGTAAATGGATGTAGAACAAGTATCACATGGGACAGTAAAAAGACAATCATTGCTAAGTGCTACAAAGGATAGGAAGTTGTGGAGAGCCATGGTTGTTCACGTCCTGGTGGGAAAGAGAACATAAAAGAAGAAGAATCGTTATAATATTTCTCTTGTCAGTTCTACTTGGTAATTACTCTCCTATCAGTGACTCGTTGCGTCCTCTAGCGGCTCACGTTCTCTAATGATGGGAAGTGAAAAGACTAAATTGAATCCATTGCTGCATCTACTCATAGAAAGTTGATTAATAGTGCCATGTTAGACAATTTTTCTCGCCAGAATATATCTTATATATTTATATGTCGAACATTCGTCCATGCTTCGAATATAGCTGCCACATATGGCCCAGTGTTCCTGCTGCATAAAATCCAAAGTAGAGTCAGCAATATTACTAGTCCTGACCTGGCATCTTGGCTTTCCCACCACCGTAAAGTTGCTCCCCTGTGGCTTTTTTATAAACACTTTCATGGTAATTGTTCAGATGAACTTTCCTATTTGATACCTAGACTTTATGAATTTAAGTGCTCTACTAGATTGGCGGCAAGGTCTCATCATTTTACAGTTGAAATAGCTAGATGGAACCGCAAGTTCTATGCTAACAGTTTCTTCTATCGCACTTCTCCCTTGTGGAACACTCTTCTGGCTCTATACTTTCCAGTCAACTTTTGATCTTCAAAAATTTAAATGCAATGTCAATCGTTATCTACTGTCTTCCTGATTATTCTTTTATTGTTCTTGCTCCTTCATAATGTTTCTCTTTTGTAATTCTTTCACACCCATTAACCCCATGTGTTTTAGTGGGTTTACTGTCTTGCACGGGGTGAATTTGATTAAATAAACTACAAAGGACAGAACGTTGTGGAGAGCCATTGTTGCTCACGTCCTGACTGGAAAGGGAAGATGAAAATAGAAAATCTCTATATTATTTCTCTTCTCAGTCCTGCTTGGTATTTAATCTCCCATCAAATGCAGGGAGGTCGGTTTCATGATCTTTTTTAATGAATAAAATGCCCTATATATCATCCAATACAGTAATTAAAGAATCCTTGAAAAGTTGCAATTACCATAGTAAATTACTTACAGGCTATAAATGGCAGTGAATGAGGCACAGGTCAGGTTGTTTTGAACAGGAATATGGCTGCTTAGAATTCAAGTATATCATTGGAATTTAAGGCAATAAAAAAAACATTCGAACATAGACACTCGTTGGTTTAACTATTGAGGCAGAAACTTGTCTAAGGCTAAAAAGGGTCTTGTGCACGATGATTGAAATACTTCAAGTGTGTCAAAGAAAAATAATTATACACCGGGTGTAACAATTAAATTGTCCAAATCGTGTAACAGCATGGGATAATTGTCCATCCCATAAAATGTTTAATATCTGAAAAACAAAAAACAAAACAAACACTAAACTAATTGAGTTTCTTTTTTCCAGGTTTTCACATAAGACGTTTAGCCATCTTGACACCATTTGTAAGAATCACAGAAAAAAAACAAAAAACCTTTGAGTTATTCAACTAGAAAGAGAACAAGTTAAAATCGTTTTGTGTCAGCCCCACTATGTCTTCCCAATCGAGCAATGGTGTGAGGAAAAAATCATTCAGGCCCTCAGCAATGGTACCAACATTCATACCTTGGCTTCCATCTTCAAGAACTATTAATAGAACGGTGAGCAAGTTTAAAATGGAGGGAACAGTAGAGGGGAAAACTGGCCCAGGAGGTCACAACAGCAAGAGGGATCTTAATTTCAAATTAGAGCTAAATACATTCTTATTGATCAAAGTAAAGTCCATTAATGTTATAAAAACTTCGGAGAATTGCAGTAAGCTATCTTTAATCATTTCTAAGATACAACAGTTCAAAGTTTAATCTAACAATTGAACAATTTTGCTGTTACACCCGGTACATACATATACATATACATACACACATATATATATTAAGAAATGGACAAGGTCCGACAATTTATTTATTAAAGATATTTTTATGTTTAACGTTGTTTGTTTATAGATACAAGTATTTAAGCAAATGCTCTTTTATGAAAATAAACAAAGAAATAACATTTACCGCCTTCGAATGTCGAGAAAATTTTATTTAAAACTGTTTCAAAAACAGAGCATTTGCTTTCTTGTATCTAAAAATAACAACGTTAAACATAAAAATGTCTTTTAAAATATATATATATATATATATATATATATATATATATATATATATATATGTATTAGGGTTATGACTTTTTGTAAGGCTATGCACCTGTGTCGCAAATCGATGAACTTTTGTTCAAAAGTAATGAAAAAGACATTAATTTGTTTTAGTTCTTGAAAAAGGTTACCCCTCAAACCGAAAATTCGATTTTAACAAATATGCAATAAGGGTAAAACATCAAAATATTTCAGCTTTACTTTCAATTTTAATAATAATATAATTGGCTAGATGCATTTTAACGCATGTAACAATTTATAGCTATAGCATAACATACAAACTTACAAATAAATAAAAACAAGTTCTAGCATATTCCGTAAAGTTCTAGAAGACTCCAGAAAGTCATAGTACTTCTACACTTATATAAGATTTTAGTAATTTTTAAAATTAAATACTTCATCATAATTGAACAAAAGTACTTCGAATTATAATACAGGAAATCAATTATTTCACAAAAAGTCACAACCCTATTATATACTAAGTGATATTTAGCTACCCCACCCCACGAGGGTTACATGTGGCACAAGGCCGGGTTTAATGTGGGATATCCGAGCCCGTAGGCTCGGCTAAAAATATTCCCTCTTTGAACCCGCATAAACGGGTTCAGGGTCAGTCAACCACCCCGAACGAGACTCTGCCCTTCGGTGGAGCCTCGTTCGGGTTCCTCTCCACCCGAAGGCAGAGAGTTAGACTGTTAGCCAAGTTAGCCTATTATATACTTAGTGGATACTCATATTTGATTAGATGCCCTGTTTATTTATTAAACAGTTTTTTTTTGTTTTATATAGGAGGCACGGTGGAATAATGGATAGCCGCTTGGATTGAGGAATCCATTACATTTACTTATGTGCTAATACCTATGGGAAAGGTAAGAAAAATCTGCCTCGTCAGTCATGTATCGAAAGATACATGATCGCCTAAGTGTGTATCACGCATGGGACATAACTGACTGACTGACTTTCCAGTCGAATCCATTACATTCACTTACGTACTAATACCCTTGGGAAAGCTATGAATCCTCTTCTCTCCCAGTTATGGGTAAATAGCAGGAGAGACCAGGTTCTATAGCCTTGGATGGCAACTGGTCTACCGCAAAAAGAAATGGCAACTTACTGCGGGAAAAAAAATCTGCCTCATCAGTCATGTATCGAAAGATACATGATCGCCTAAGTGTGTATCCTGCATGGCACATAATTGATTTATATTTATTTCCATCTACTGTTCTGAATATTCGGAAAATCTGATGATTTCTCAAATATTCAGTCCTTCCAAAAACAAAACTGCAAAAACATTAGAAAACCTTAATAAAAAAAATGTATCAGATGTTTCTGCCCTGTTGCAGTCAGTGAAATATATAAACTGCCAAACACGTCGTCACTAATCAAAACAACCCTATCAAATCTAAACTACCGATGACCAATATAGTGTATCAATTTCACTGCTCAGTACAAGAATGTGTTTCTTGTCATAAATCAACTAGCTATATCGGTCATACCACCATCATCTTGAGCAGACGCCTCAGGTGTCACTTATCTAACCTAAGTGTCATATGAAAGGCACTTAGCCACTCACAATTGACAACAACCCATAAAGAAGATTCTTGTTGATAATACTAGCATTCTATATAGGTCCCATTAATGAAAAAATCTCACTGGTAAGAGGCCCTTTACATAAAGCATCTGACACCCAGTATAAATCTCACTTTATTCAGCAGCAGAAATAGTGTGTTAAATGATTTTTAATAGAATTCCAGCCATGCTCAACTAGCGCGTCTCGGAATAAACCTACTATTAACTAGACCCCACAAAACTACATTTTAAACAGACAAATATGAAAAGAAATTAAGAAACCTGCCCTGAAAATGTTTAAAGAAGTGGCCGAAAACGCTTGGGACAATAGTCACTATGGACCTTTTTAGACACCACAGCACCCCTCCAAATTTAAAAAATATTAGAAAAATTTAAGCAAATTTTTTTTGTGAGTCATTTTTAACGAAACATATTTGAAAGAAAGGTTGCTGTCCAAATTTATATATATATATATATATATATATATATATATATATATATAGGTGTAACCGGATGTAACAACAATTGTCCAAATCGTGTATCCGTGTGGAATAACTTTCCATCTCACAAAATGTGTAATATCTAAAAATAAATAAGTAAGTGAATAAATAAAAACGAGAAACTAATTGAGTTTCATTTTATCAGGTTTTCAGATAAGACGTTTAGCCATCTTGACAGTTTTTCGTAAGAATGGCTGAAAAACCCTTTGAGCTATTCAGCTAAAAAGAGGACGGGTTAAAATTGTTTCCTGTCAGCCCCACTGTCTTTCCAAATGAGCAATGGTGAGAGGAAAAAGATCATTTAAGCTT